AGGCAATGCCAACTAGTAAAATTGGCCAGGCAAGTGCTAAAGAACAGCTGATGAGTATTAGCCTTATTATTCCTAGTCTGAACTGTATGTAAACAATTCTGGGAACCAAATCTCTATTCCCAAGTGAAGTTTTCTACAAAGCTATATTCATTCCTAGAAATGTAGCCCCTGCAGCCCACAAAAGTAAAAATAAATTCTGTCTCTGTGCTAAAAACAAACACTATTTTGTTACTATTTGAAGTGTCCTTAAAAATGATGTTAGTTGTTATGTATTAGTGCTTAGACCGGGGTGGCCAAACCATTACAGATGAAGAGCCAAAACAGTGGTGGATACAGCGCAAAGAGCAGAGGGAAAGAAGTAAAAAAAGCGCTGCCCACCCACCCCCTTTTAGAACTACATGTGGCCCAAGCAGGCTTCCATTGGCTACAGGGTCAGATCTCGCTGCGCCAAGCAGCGCCCTGCCCAGACATGGAAAAAAAAAGGTCAGAGCAAGGGACCATGAGAAGAGCCACGGGTGTGAGAGCCTCAATTTTTTCTTTGAAGAGCCACATGTGGCTCGCGAGCCACAGGTTGGCCACCCCTGGCTTAGACAAATTATATTTTATTAGCACTCCAAATAGATGAAAATAATAAAATAAAACTATGTACTTTTAACTCTATCCCGAGTAAAGTTTATTACCTTCTCTCAAAGTTTCACTTCACTGACAAACCTACGGATTGCAAAACTATGCAAAGGCTCAAACTGCGCTCAGATGATTACAAAGATGTGAATACCACAAAGGCAGTGAGGTAATCTGGATTGCAATGTGTTGAATATCTGCAGCATTCCCAAATATACATTTCCAATTCATCAGACCACTTTGATGCGGTTGATCACTATCCTAAATTTTGCTGAAGAAACAACTGCCAAGAATCATTAGCTCCTTTAGGGCAGACTGGTCTCCTTAGTACTCAAGTTCATATATTTTAAAGGACTGTTTGTCAGTGGAAGTATATTATCCTACGCTCTATGATTTGCTCTGTTTACCAAGTTCATTTCTGAGTACAATGTACTGCAAAGTGTTGGTTTGAACCTAAAAAGACTTAAATGCCCTGATACAGCAAAGCACTAAAGTAAATTTTTCAAAAGCAACCAAATGACTTAATAGCCTAAAGGCATATCTATATTACCGCTTGGGAATAGTGACCATAATATAATAACATTTAACAGTCCTGTGATGGGAAGAACACCTCAGCAGTCCAGCACTCTGGCATTTAATTTCAAAAAGGGAAATTACACAAAAATGAGGAGGTTAGTTAAACAGAAATTAAAAGGCACAGTGACAAGAGCCAAATCTCTGCAAGTTGCATGGAAACTTTTTAAAGACACCATAATAGAGGCCCAACTTAAATGTATACCCCAAATTAAAAAAACATAGTAAGAGACCTAAAAAAGAGTCACCGTGGCTTAATCACCAGGTAAAAGAAGCAGGGAAGGGACAAAAGGGCATCTTTCAAGAAACTGAAGTCCAATCCCAGTGAGATAAATAGAAAGGAACATAAACACTGTAAAATTAAGTGTAAAACTGTAATAAGAAAAGCAAAAAAAGATTGAGGAACAGCTAGCCAAAAACTCAAAAAACAATAGCAAAATGTTTTTTAAGTACATTAGAAGGAAGCCTGCTAAAAAACCTGTGGGTCCCCTAGACAATCAAGATACAAAAGGAGCAATCAAGGACGATAAAGCCATTGCGGAGAAGCTAAATGATTTCTTTGCATCAGTCTTCACAGCTGAGAATGTTGGGGAGATTCCCAAACCTGCACCGTCTTTTGTGGGAGATGAATCTGAGGAACTGTCCTAGATTGAAGTGTCATTAGAGCAGGTTTTGGAACAAATAGAAAAACTTAATGTGAACAAATCACTGAGACCGGATGGCATTCACCCAAGGGTTCTAAAAGAACTCAAATGGGAAATTGCAGAACTGTTAACTGTGGTTTGTAATCTATCCCTTAAATCGGCTTCCGTACCTACTGACTGGAAGGTAGCCAACGTGACACCAATATTTAAAAAGGGCCCTAGAGGTGATCCCGGCAATTACAGACTAGTAAGTCTAATGTCGGTACTGGGCAAATTAGTCGAAACAATAGTTAAGAATAAAATTGTTAGGCATGTAGAAGAACATAAATTGATGGGCAAAAGTCAACATGGCTTCTGTAAAGGGAAATCCTGTCTTACTAATCTATTAGAGTTCTTTGAAGGGTTAACAGACATGTGGACAAGGGGAATCCAGTAGATATAATATACTTAGATTTTCAGAAAGCCTTTGACAAAGTCCCTCACCAAAGGCTCTTGTGTAAATTACATTGTCTTGGGAAAAGAGGGAAGGTCCTTTCATGGACTGAGAACTGGTTAAAAGACGGGAAACAAAGGGTAGGAATAAATGGTAAATTTTCAGAATGGAGAGGGGTAACTAGTGGTGTCCCCCAAGGGTCAGTCCTAGGACCAATCCTATTCAATTTATTCATAAATCATCTAGAGAAAGGGGCAAGCAGTGAGTTAGTAAAGTTTGAGGATGATACCAAACTGTTTAAGATAGTCAAGACAGAAGCAGACTGTGAAGAACTTCAAAAAGATCTCACAAAACCAAGTGATTGGGCAACAAAATGGCAAATGAAGTTTAATGTGGATAAGTGTAAAGTAATGCACATTGGGAAAAATCACCCCAACTATACATATAATATGATGGGGGCTAATTTGGCTATGACAAATCAGGAAAGATATCTTGGAATTATCGTGGCTAGTTCTCTGAAAACTTCCACACACTGTGCTGTGGCGGTCAAAAAGGCAAATAGGATGTTAGGAATTATTAAGAAAGGTATAGGAAATAAGACCCAGAATATCTTACTGCCCCTGTATAAAACTATGGTACGCCCAGATCTTGAGTACTGTGTACAGATATGGTCTCCTCACCTCAAAAAAAAATGTTTTGGCCTTGGAAAGGGTTCAGAAAAGGGCAACTAAAATGATCAGGGGTTTGGAACAGGTCCCATATGAGGAGAGGCTAAAGCAACTGGGACTTTCCAGTTTGGAAAAGAAGAGACTGAGGGGGGATATGATAGAGGTATATAAAATCATAAGTGGTGTGGAGAGGGCCGATAAAGAAAAGTTATTTATTAGTT